TAAATATGCACAGCGTTTTTTAATAATATGACAGACTACTTTTACCTCTTTTAGACATTTCCTGAATGATTCATCCTGGTCGTTTTGTATCATTATTGACAACAATTCAAACCGATGAGTTATTGCCTTGTTGAAAATAGGCGAGTTAAACATAAAATGACCTGGGTCGATGTACCTTGGTACTGGTCTGAGTTGTAAAAATTCGCCAACTAGTATCAGCTGAATGCCGTTGAATGGACGAAGGACAGTTTTTCCACCGTTGACGTCGAGATGAATCATGTTTGACAGATGGAAAATGCGCTCACTGGACATGGAAATTTCGTCCCATATAAGAGTATCGGCGTTCTTTATTCGCTCACACACTAGATTGCTACCGGTTGACCTTTCTACTAGTGATTTAGAGGGTAAATCAGCAGTTCTTAAGCCATGGAAAGAGTGAACAGTCATAACGGTGGTGTCCAAGTCGGAGTACACTGTCCCTGCGATGCCACTTGCGCATATCACATATACTTTTTTGCCAAGACCACAAAGACTTCTATGTATCTCCTTTACGAGAAATGACWTTCCGGTTCCAGCTTGACCGGAAACGAGTAAATTATGGCCAACAAGTGCAACGTTTAAAACTTCTTGTTGGTCAAAAATTATCTTTCATTTGAAGCTGTAATCAAATGTTTTCTCACGGCGGAATCCAAAGATTCCAAATGCAGGACAAGACTTATAAATCGTTTTAAGGTTTTCGCTTGTTTGACATATGACATATCACAGTTTTTGTTACAACACAACTTATTGATGCRTGACATTATTCCAAACGCATGCTYATCCGGTTTCTGTCTCTTGGCGCCAATTTCGAATTTCAATTGAAGTTACGCTTACGAGCGCTCTGTCTCGCTATGAATCGAATAAAGTTTTTAAGGTTTCTSAAGCTGCTGCTTGGAATTTCTCTGCTATTCAGTTGTGTTCTTCCGTTAGAAGCGATTGGTTGTGATCCTCGTTTAGCTGACAAGTTGATGGATAGAAAGGTATTTATGAATTACTGCTAAGTGCTTTTAATTATACTTGTGTACTGATAGTCGCTTAATACGCTCTCTTAGTTGTCTGGTAAAATACATGGAGATAATTCGAGCACCAGCACAGTCACTTTGGAGAATGACGAAGATCTAGAGAATGATGATGACGATTCGAGCTTCGTGGAAGTATGTTAATTCGGTGATGGTTGTTCAAAATATTCATGATATTTATAAACAAAGGTAGTATGCTTAAAGTAATTGCAATTGAAGATTAGCAATGTAGAACAAGCAGTAACATGAAGGAGAAAATGAAAAAAATGATCAGTAAAAAATGGCAGCGCTCTGATTTAAAAAGGATTGTATCATTACCATTGGTATAATATTCACTTTTTCTAATTTATGAATTCAGAATGACGAAAACGATGAATGGGAAAATTATGATTTTGAATGTGATTCTGGCTTGGATAGGTACCGAAAAAATATATCAACAAATTGGAAAAAGCAATGAGGTAAGACGACMTCTGATATCAGCACTGATTAGCTTGCTTTTTTTAGAAATTWAAGTACATGCTTCTTTAGTAGCTTTGGCGAATAACAGGAAGTAGATTCTAGACATTTATAACCTGCGAGAGAGGGCTAGTAGTATTACAGGAGTTCTATATATACATCGATTCTTAATTTTTGTTGTCTAACCTGCATTTGTTTTAAAATATTCCGCTAAATTTAAGAAAAAGAAGACTTCGTGACAAGTTCTTGTACGGTCCCCGTACTAGYCGTATCTGTACTAACGAAGTAGCTCAGGTTGGCAGGTTTTATAATTTTATTGGACAGTATTTTTTTTTATTTTGCAACTTTGTTTTTTAAATAAATAAAACAATTTAAGTAGTTGGTTAGGATTAACAGTAGTAGGTAATTGAAGGTATCTATCTTATAAAAACATTTATGAGGTGCCCTGTATGTTAAAATTATTCATTTATGCTAGCAGGATTTTTTTACACCAAGTGGAGAGTTTGAAAATCATCGCAATACCGAAAACGAAAGTCAAAAAGAGAGGAAAGGTAGTTTCAGATTTATCACAGCCTTAAATTCATCTAATAGTGGATTTCTGACAGTCTGCTTTAACACAACTTTTAGCACCGCATACTTGCAAAAAGAGATTATTACTTGTGCAAGTGTCAGAGATCCAAAACGATCTAAGCACAACTTAATGTTGCAAGAACAACTGTCTTCAATATCTGCCTTTGGAAACAGCAGTTGGTGARAGAGAAGGATTTTGGGTTGGTAAATCCTTAGTCGAACAAAGAAATTTCATGATATGGGCAATACGCAATGCCTCAATATCCAACGATGGTCGCAGATTTTTTAATATTGCAAATTGTACACAAAAGCTGTGTAAAAAGTCGTGGTGCACTGTATATGGC